TCTCTCTCTCTCTCTCTCTCTCTCTCTCTCTCTCTCTCTCTCTCTCTCTCTCTCTCTCTCTCTCTCTCTCTCTCTCTCTCTCTCTCTCTGTTGTAGCCGTAGTCAGGACATGGGAGGACGACGATCGCGATTAGGCAGTAGTGGCTCGCAGGACTCCATGATGTGGCATGGACACGTGTCAGGTATCCATGCATTTGTTGATTGAAATGCTTGGGTGTACAAAGCCTCCGCTACCTAGTCTCTGTCTAGAATGACTGTCAATGACACATCTATATGTAGGCCACAAGTGTGTTCTGTCAGTCGATCTTGCTGTATACCCACCTGTCTGTGTAGCATCATCTAATGTAGCTTTGCATTTATTGATGGATGTTGGATACTCAGATTGATCGATTGATGGCTGTGCGCCGGCCTCGTTGCTCGATCTGGTCATTCTCCTATGGTGTCCACGTCGGGCGACTCTTATATTGTTGAAGGCCCGATTATCCATTCTTAGATAATCATAAAGGTTGTTAAGGTGGTCCTGTCGTTTTTTTTTGCATGCGGATCATCCTTCTGTGCATGCGGATCATCCTTTTGTATTTACGAGTTTTCCTTGTGCTAGTTACGTCGATGGCATTGTGTGCTCACGTTCCGAACTAGTAATTCATGAACAGATACATGTACACAAATACATAAATATGTATATGTATAAATGTGTTAATTTTTACGTAAATGTGTAGTACATTCCGAACTACCGCAAGTAATTCAAGAACAGATACATGTACACAAATACATAAATATTTATGTATATGTATAAATGTGTGTCCATTCTTACGTAGAGGTGTAGTACATTATATCTGTATCCATGAATGGATAAGGCTCAGTGTGTGTCAGCGTATGACTTCTCGTTGATAATTACCCAGCGCTGATTACCCAGCGCTGCTGTGTGTGTGTGCGTGCGTGTGTATATGTGTGTTTATGTCTGTGTGTGTGTCTGTACGTCTGTGTATCATATAATCTGCTCGATCGCATCCTGAAATCCTCTCTCTCTCTCTCTCTCTCTCTCTCTCTCTCTCTCTCTCTCTCTCTCTCTGTGTCTGTGTTTGGATCTCTATTGTCTCAGAGTCTATGTCTCTGTCTGTCTGTCCATCTCTCTTCTTTGAGTGTAAATTGTTTGCCCAGCGTGATGTGGAGGGGATGACAAGGTGATTGTGTGTGTTTTGGACACCGTTTTTCGAATCGTGGTCAGCGGATTAGTATCTCGACCAGCCAGGCCATTCATTAAGCGATCTGAGAGTTGTAGTCTATCTTTCCCGATTTCGTTCCAGAGGACAATGTCATACAACTGACTAGTGCATCCCACCTTAGCAGGCCTTGCGTTCGCGGTCTGGATTGCGGGCGCGCGCGTGTACGGTGTTCGCTGATGTGCGAATGCGCGCGTGTGCGCCCGCTGTCTGCGCATGGGAGCGCCTCCGCGCTCGCAACTGTTGTCGTCCTCGTCTGCGCACGCGCGCGCACGTGCTAGTCTTCGCGCTGTGGGGAGCCTTTCTCCTTGCAGATCCCGATCAGATTCTGTCGTTGTCCTTACCTTGACATGACATTTGCTGGCCTTTTTTTTTTTTTGTTGGTTCTTCTTATTTCTTTCTTTCTATCCGTGTCTTTTTTTTTGAGTCCTCTTTTTTCCCCTTCGTTTCGTCTGTGCCTTGTCTGGCACAACAATTTCCTGGGCACTGAATGGAGCCACTCTCTGTCTCTGGACTCTGTTGCCGCCAGATACATGTTCTTTGCGGCCAGCTGTATCCTCAGAAAGGGTCTCCACGTTGAGTATTCTTTGATTCTTTTCTTTTTTGTTTTTTTTTCTGTTGAGTATTCTTTGATTCTCTTTACTTTCTTTTTTTTTTTTTTTT